TGTGTATATATATATATATATATATATATAGGGGTGATAGTGGTGTTTCATTTTAATCATGGGAAAATGTGGATTTTGGGTTCCTTTTTTTAATCCAAAAATTGAGGATTCTTTTATCAGAGAAAGCAAGGGTCCCTGCTCATCTGGCTTGCCTCCTGACTGCTTGATGATACAGATTGCTTCCTCCTCTAGGGGTTCAGACAGAAATAACAAGTTTTGACTAATCTGGCCTCTGAAAGCTCTCTCCAGGCATGAACTAACACAACTGCATGGCCACAGAGCACTTTAAAAGGGCCTGATCCCATGATATTCCGAAAGCTCATTACATGAGAGTTTAAATGAAGGCACTCCAAAGTCCCCCTGAGATGGGGGGCTCCAATCCACACCCCGCCACTCCAGCACAGGCTGGGGAAGCCCCAGAATGGACCTCCCTCCCTGCTTCTCCCCCTCCCATCCCAAGACAGCACTGGGGGCTTGGAGGGGCAGGGGCAGGACTAGGGGAAGAGTCCATAGAGATGCAGCCTCCCTTCCTGGATCATTTCCAAATTAGAGCTCAGTTCCTGACCCTTCCAACTCAACATCTAATGTCTGTTGAGTCAGGAGAATCAATCAAACTCATGGTTCCTTCTTGTAAAGCACCACAGATTCATAGATTGTAAGAGTTAGACCAGGGAGCTGCACTTCTGCCTATACCCTAATTGTGTTCTTATAACAATTCCTGAAGAGTTTTGGTTGCTCATCCACATTACCAAGTACTATAATTTTCCTCTTGCTTACCTAAGCATTGTTTTAGTGATAATGAAATTTTAGAAAGATCATTAAGAAAAATGACAAAAAGATTATTTTAAAAAACTGTGTGAGTTTAGGTGCAGCCATGACTAATGTAATAATTTGTCATCTTCTTTAGCTATCAGGTTTGGGCGAATGCCACAAGCTGAGAAGGAGAAGCTCTTGGCGGAGATTTCCAGTGACATCGACCAGCTAAACCCTGAATCTGCTGACCTGCGAGCCCTCGCCAAGCATTTGTATGACTCATACATAAAGTCCTTCCCTCTGACCAAAGCCAAGGCGAGGGCAATCTTGACAGGAAAGACAACAGACAAATCAGTTAGTTCTCTGCTTTTTCTTCTTTTTTTTTTGAGTAAATGATTTACCACATTGACACACAGTAAAAAAAAAATTGCTGTTGGCAGTTACATATTTCAAGCTGTGTCTTAAACACAGGAAATGTTTTTAGATAGGATAAGTAAACATTATTTGAAAAATCTCCAAGTTCACCTAATAAAATACTTGAAACAAGTACAAGAATTTGAAGGTCATCTTAACCTTTTTGTACTCCCTGATCCATTCTTCCCATTTCCCCTCTCCTCTATCTGACATAATATCTGTTTAATAGGGCTAACTATCTGGTAGACAAAAAGCTGAGACACTGTTGCAAACATTCATATAGTAACATATTACCAGTACTAGCAGTGAACGCAAAGAAATATTCTAATGTAGTTGTACGCTCCTACTTTCCTTTCCCATAACTGGCAAATGATTCACAGAACCAGCATTGTATCTCTTCATAAAATATACTGCTTGTTCCTAAGACATAACGATGATTTCCTGCATTTAAGTTAGTTATCTAACAGGGTTAAAAGGATGTTATATTGCTACATGTTGCTTTAGGATTTTTCAAGGAAACCCACAAAGTACATATCCCTCTATGTATAATGTCTCAAAGATTTTCCTGTAATGTGTAAAGTTAGTTATCTTGTGGGAGTTCAGGTTTTCTTGTGGGTTTCCTTGAAAAATCCTAAAGCAACATGTAGCAATATAACATCCTTTTAACCCTGTGGAATTTGGTTTTGTATCATTCAGTTGCATAGGGATAAAAACAGCTTTTCTAAAACCACCATCAGTTTGTGTTGATGTATTTGTTTAAGTAGATAGCAGAGAGTTTGGTTGTCAGGAACATGCTAGAGACAGTGTATTTGATTTCCTTTGATTTTATCAAGAGTAGAAAAGAATGTTACACATTTTTGGCTGCCACTAAGGGCATGTCTACACTGTCAAAGGATCATATTAGGGAATGCTACAGTGAAACGTGCTGTAAGCTGAAGTGGATATAAAGTAGATACCTTGCAGCAGTGAAATTACTGAGTAGTTGTGCCATGCTTCATTTTAGTGCTTCCTTGTGTGGTCCAGAGGTCATAGTCATACACTAATGGTTTGTCTTTACAACAAACTTATTTTGAGTTATCACTTGAATGTTTCTTTTAGACTCAAGCCTTGTTCACACACACAAAATCTTAACTTGAATTTGATGATTTGACATAATCTTGAGTTGGTTTGATCCAACCTGGGTTAATCAGGCACAAAAATAACCTCTTAGAGATAGTCATTGGCAATCCCTCAATTCAATGATGATCTACCACAGTGCATTGAGATGATTTAAGAATTGCAGGTCTTTCCGCAGGGGAGCATAGGCTATAGACTGGGATTCCTCTCCTTTTCTTTCCTCTGCACTCATTTCTGTGCTTTGAGGGCAAGACACATTACCTCAAAACAGGCTGCTGTTTGATTGAGGTTGACACCACTGGAGTCAGTTAGCAAGCTGCCCCTCCCAGCTCTTGATGTTGGCATCTGTTTTCTTCAGGTATGCATTCAATGTGTCCTTGTAGCATTTCCTCTGGATCTGGCTGGAGATAGAGGGCAGAACTGAAAGGAAAGTTTCATAACCTGTATCCTCTGTATCTTGCATAGGAAGCTGAGAAGCACAGTGGAAGCTTACAAGTCTTTAGTTTAGGCTTGGCTGGACAATTCAGCTAAAGGGACATCCCAGCAATTTCTCCTTTCAGGGAGAAAGATCTGAGCTAAGAGATCCACCACTTTCTGTTTGGAAATGAAAGAGGTGACTTGATTAATTGTTCTCTCATCCGATAACTGCCACTATGTTCATCATTAGCAGATAAGGATATTTTTCCAAATCTTTTTGCTAAGGTAACTAGTAAAAAAAATTAACCACTAACAGCATTGGCTTTTAAAATATTAGAGTCAACAGTCCATTGAAGAAAATGAGGTGTTTTACTCCTCTCCTCAGGATTGATTCTTATCCTATTTCTATTTCTAAGTTTGATGCAGTTGGTCTTGATTCACATGCCAATGCAACAGAAGAGCAAAAAATCCTTGAAGTAATTGTCTATCCCTGCAAATTCAAATAGTACTGCATCAGTCCACAGCAAAAAGATTTCCTTCCTGAACTGTCTGAAAACTTTTTTCAGTGACAGTCTTAAATTCTAGAGAAATTTTGAGCCTTCTTAATGGAATCTTTATATATTTTACTATAATTTCTCTTATTTTACATATTAAATTTTTATTTTTTAAGCTAAGCCCTCATGATACAATCGTATAGAATTTATCCAAAAATTGTAACTAATGTGAATCTATGTGCAGGTTTCACATTGATGTTTCACATTACTTAAATTAATGCAATGAAATACAGTATTAAATTGATGTTATTGAATGCAATCACATTGGGTGCTTCTACACATGCAATTAATGCTCCTGAATTTTCTGTACAGAAAATTCAAGCTCATTAAAGCAGTCCACGGCACACATCTGTACGTATGCCCCTGTCGAGAGCAAATTGAGCCCAGCAGGAACAGACCAGTCCAGAGCTGCTCCTGCCCTACTCCGCCCCCCTGCAGCAGCCAGGAGGAGTTCCAGGTTCTCCTGGGTGCCAGCCCCAGGCTAGCAGGGAGCACCAGGGACTAACCCCAAGCTCTGGGGGGTGGGGGGAGCTGTCCCAGCTGGATAAGCATCTCTGTCCCTGCTGGGGGGAGATCAGGCTGGCCCCAAAGGGATGGGGGAAGCTGTCTCAGCTGGACAGGCAGATTGGGACCCCTCTAATCTCCACAGGGCAGGGAGAGCTGTCAAGCTGCCAAGTAGCCACCTCCCAGCCACATGGAGACTGAAACCCATCTGAATCTCCGTGTGGCTGAGAAGCAGCTGCCTGGCAGCCATGACAGCTCTCCTTGACCCTGTGGCCCCCTGCTGTCAGCATCAATTTCTCCCAGTCAGCATCTACACATGTGGTACAGTGCATTAGTTAATGCATTGTTTTTCTAGTACCTGTATCTATAGGTACTAGAAGATGGTTCATTACATGAATATACTGCTCCGTAATTGCTGTGCACATGTAGACATTGATTCTTTACTATGCATTAAGTTAGTTTAATGTGCAGTAAGGTATCTCATATAGACATACCCATTGAGGGGATGTATATGCAGCACTGACTGAGGTTCTGATACTATAAACTTTTATGGGCATGAGTCATTTTATGCATGGTAGTAATTACATTGAGATGACTTTGAATAGTGCTCTGTACAAAAGTTACTGAACTATGTAAGTTTTTAAAGGGTCAGAGCATAAAAACATGATATCCTATCCCAGAATGCATTGAACCTTGTATGGATTCTTTATGGGTTATCTTGTCTTCAATTGTTTCATATTTGTGGTCAGAAATCTACTGGACAGGTACCGATGATGGTACATCCACAGATCTTTGTATTATTTTACAAGATGCTTCAAGGCTGTCTTAGATTTCAATAACTGGTCTTATGCTCTGGTGCATAGTTAATTAATAACTGCTTGGACTTTGGAAGTGATTTTGTGATGCCTGGATGTTACTTCTATGTGATGTATATAGTGTGCCATCACATGATGTTTTATTGTTTATTAAAATTTTAAAACCCTTGCCAGACTAGAGATTATCATAAAACAATACACAAATAGACACCTTTATGCATAAGTTGCTGTCACTTTTCAAGTCATGTTTAAATTCCCCGCAGAGACTGAATGCTCTTAGTAAATAATGATTAAAACGTTTATGTTATTTGTACTGTAATGGACTTTGTGCTATGAGATGTGAAGCTGTTTACTACAACGATTATTCATATTCTTTAATTATATCTGTACCACATGAAAAGGTTTGGATATGCAAAAGTGGTGTGTGAAATCTAAAATTACTAAATAACCAGTCCTGGTCTGGACTGTACAGAACTCCTCAACCAAAGCAAGATAAGCTTCTGGTCACAGAGTTCTTTTGAATCTTTAAATTATGTTTTCTTGGCCCATTTTAGCTTTTTTATTTATTTTCACTCCATAAGTGGCAATTTGTGTAATAGCCCAAATGATATAAACTAGTTTTATATCTTTTGCACATAAGCATGCAGAGAACAGAAGTTATCAACAATGATTTTCTCAAGTTTGGTGCTAAAAGAGCAAGTAGGAATCTGTTGAAAGAATAAGAGAATGACATAGCAGAACGGGAGGTTCAGAAGCCTATGTTCATTTAGCCGTTATTCCACCCAGTTATGTACATGAAAGTGTTCCTCTGTTGCCAGAAGTGGAACAATGTGTACATTAAATCTTGAGAAACATGTGTGATCTTGCTGATATTTCTCAGAGCCATGTTTTTTTTAAATTTCATACCCCTCAAAGAAGTTACAAGGATTGTGTCCTAGTACAGTAGCTATGTAGCCAGTGTTGTACCTTATGCTGTTTGTGTAGTCGGTGACTGGGGCTGGCTAGGGCAGAAGGTTGCTACAGTGCAGGGCTGCCTGCCAGCTAGCACCACACTGGAGCACCTTTGTGCCCCAGCCAGCCCCTCTGCAGCATGTTGAACCAAGACGGAGCAGCTCCAGGCTGGCAGTCTGATCCCCTGGACCTTCTTCCAGTTGGGGCTGCTCCACCCTGACTCAACATGTTGTGGTCAGGGGCACATGTGTAAACACTGTGCCCAGGAGCAACCTGCACCCAGGAGCAATAAATTCTGACACAAACTGTGCTGAAGTTTCTTGCTATGTGCTATTTGCATGTGTAGATGCACCATGTGTATTGCATACTATTTCCCAGAAAAACTCAAGTGCCCCTGCAAAGGAGTTAAAACTTTTGTTTGTTAGCCTTATTAAATACATACCAGAATTTTCTCTACTAAAGACTAGTCAAAGACAAGAATAAACATTACAAAGAGTGATGGCACAACTCACAAGATGGATTTCCAAAGACTTGTTCCTAATTAAGGAACTACTTGTGTGTCACAGAATCCATAGAATTTTTGAGCACTTAGTATATCTACTATTAATGGAAACTGAGAACTTAAGCAGAAACTTTGATGTATTTAGAACTGAGGCAGGAAAGTAACTGAGAGAACCAGTGCCATTCAGACAATAATAGCACCCCATGATTATTATCTACTAAAGATAATATTGAGAGCTCACATTTATAGCTATCTATGTAGATCATTTGATTATGTATTAGCATCTATCTGCAATCTTTTCTTAAACTACCAAAAGGAAATTTTTTTGCTGAAAAATAAAAATTCAAACGGCACAAATTTTTGGAAGCAAAACACAATCCAGTTGGTACATGTTTAAAATACTTTTATGACTTCAGTAATCTAGGACTTGATCCAGTGCTTCTTGAGATGAGTGGAAGTTTCTTCATTAATATTAATGGATATGGAATCAGGTGAACAATGAAGAATATAAAATCTGGGTTGCAAGCATGAAGGCTAAAAAAGTACATCATTTTTCAGTTCTACATATCTGGCATAGTGGTGCAATAGAGGTTTTGGTGCTGCTTAATCCCTTGAAGGAGAACAAACAGACAAGTATAACATAAACAGTAAGAGAAAAAGTGAATTGCAGCATTGAAAAACATAAGGTAGCCAAATAAATTCTTTGTTTTCCAAGGCAGACTCAAACAATCTTGGGTAAATGATGCATGCGCTTGATTTAATAATTTGGCATAAAGATGGAGGTTCCTAAAATAAATTCAGAGCTCTTCACTTGTCCACCTCTTTTAACAGATCATACCCAGAGGACTCACATCTGCTTATTTTGAAATAGATTGTTTCCAGCTTATAAACGATTTTCTGGCATCATTTTTTAAATCTGTTTACAAATTGACATATTCCAGGGTTTATTTATTTATGCCTGGGTTTATTTCTCAGGCATACTCATCATATGAATTGCTTTTATTGTAATTTACATCATACTATTTTTTTTTATGAAGTAGCTATTCATTACCATATTATTTGAGTTTAAGAAACTCTTAACCCCTTTTAGTATGATGAAGTTAATAGCAATGAGTACAGTTTATAAAATGGTCATGGTTAAACAGTGTAGATTTTTTGCAGTACTTTCTAGGATAGGATTTTAAATGATCATATGAGGTAAAAAAATATTGAAGATACTATGTCTGTCTATAAAATGTTCTACCAATGAAGATACAATTCAGACATTCAGGTAGAAGGCAGGGTAGGGTTGCACCTTAGGTCTCTGATACACATTATGTTTAGGATACAGTTAACAGGTTATTGCAACCTGTTAATTGCCGCACATGCAAATCAGTTTAAGGCATGATAGTACAGCAAACAATCCACAATGTTATTCTGTATTATACATGGAATAACTTTGTGACCTGTTTGTATTGTGCCTTAAATTGAATGTGTGGCCAGGATCTTAGAGATTAATTCATTCAAAAATGCAAAAGTTTTTGTAGGCAGTAGCCTACTTCCATTTATAGCATCTGAAAAAGTAGGCTGATGCCTAAGAAAGTGTGTGCATTTCTGAACAAGTTAGTTTCTAGGGATGCCTATACAACAGTGTGGAGGGTGCTTCAACATACTGGAATTCCAGCATGTCAGAGCAGACTTGATTAATCGCGTCCGCTGGAGCATGGCAATTACCATTCTCTAGCACCCTCCTATATCTCACATATCAGTGTCCCCACGCATAAAAATGGTGACAGGGTGCTTGAACTAAAGATGGTCTAATGAGCTTTAGTTCAAGCACCCCTGCCACCATTTTTGAGCACGGGAATACTGATACACTAGATGTGGTGGCACTTTAGAGTGGCTCTCGGAGCCACTTTAATTATAGTGCTGCCCCTCACCCACCTCCAGAGCACATGTAAAAGTGCCCTAATGTGCCACCCTGCCCTGCCCTCTACCTGACTTCAGACTAATACTGCTAACTACTAACAATGAGGTGTAATTCTATTTATTATTGGATATAAACTATTAAAATTCAGGTAAAAGGGGTAACAGTCTTTTATTAATAACATTCTGAACATTGAATTAAATTAGTAAAACACTTTTATGAAACTAAATCAGGCATCATTAATAGATACTTTTTAGGAGTGAAAACTTTTTTGTTTTAAAAAATGGCTTTTATTGACTTCTTTAAAATTGCCTTTCCAAAACTCTAAACTCCAGAAGGTGGATTCACAGCAAGTGTGAGAAATTTTTTGGAATGGCTTTTCCCTTCAACAAACTATTTTTAACTGTAAAAATGTTTGTTCTAAAGAGTGACATGTACATTTTAACCCAAAAGTAAACTCCCTAGGTACACTGATACATATTTGCACATTCCCTGTTCTACTTCCATGTGTTTCCTAACAATGATTTATGTATTTTATTGTATTTTGCAGTCTTTTGGTAATGTGTTGTACACAGAAGTGATACATGAAACTGAATTATATTTTTCCTTTTATTTTTAGCCATTTGTTATTTATGACATGAATTCTTTAATGATGGGAGAAGATCAGATCAAATGCAAACATGTGTCACCCCTTCAAGAACAGAACAAAGAGGTAGCAATTCGCATCTTCCAGAGGTGTCAGTTTCGCTCTGTAGAGGCAGTGCAAGAAATCACAGAATTTGCCAAGAATATTCCAGGCTTTGTGAACCTCGATCTGAATGACCAAGTAACTCTGCTGAAGTATGGTGTCCATGAGATTATATATACACTTCTGGCTTCTCTGATGAATAAAGATGGGGTTCTTATATCTGATGGACAAGGATTCATGACACGGGAGTTTCTGAAGAGTTTGAGAAAACCTTTTTGTGACTTTATGGAGCCCAAGTTTGAGTTTGCTGTGAAGTTTAATGCACTGGAATTAGATGACAGTGACCTGGCAATATTTATAGCAGTCATTATACTCAGTGGTGGTAAGTATTGCTTTTTAATATACTTGTTTTTTTGTATATGGTTGCCATTTTTAAAACAGTTGTCAAAACAGGAAAAGGGGGGTCAGAAGTACTCAGGGATAGAGTTGAAGTTGTTTAAATGTAACCTTTGATTGACTTTCTAATGCTTTGATGTTCCCTGCACCTCCTTCACTCCCTGATACAAAGTGCTCATGCAGATGTGCTGCTGTTACCAACAAATTTGGCCATGCTTGCTGAGTCAGCAGTATATTTCATTTAAAAAAACAAAATCAGGGCTGTCTTATTCAAAACAGGAAAGGTGGGAACCATCCCAGCAGGAGCATTTCAAAGGCCGCTTGCTATAATGAGAGTTCTTTTATACCCACAATTAGATTGTGTAGCCCTTTTAATAGTTTACCAATATCTTGCATCCCATAATAATTTCAAATAATCACTCAGCATTAGACTTACACAAATATAGATTTTTTTTGAAGTAGTGAATCTTCAACATGAAATAAAAATAGTTAGTTACTCAGGAAAGCAGGGGTTACTAACATGAAAAATCAGATGGGATATAGGCTCTGTTCAGGCTGGCAGGCTAGTATGTATATTTGTATTTTCAGGACAGAATGAATCCTGAGGCTAAGGCAGCAGAGTATTTGTAATCTCTTACAATCTAGCATTAAAGAAGGCAGGGAAATGTTTCTGTTCTTTATTGAAGATTATGAAACTCTTCTGTCTCCTTCCATGTCTATCATCTCTTGTGGAATTTTATGAATCAATTGCTGGTAGCAGTCTGAAGCCAACCAGTTCTTTTACTCTGTAGCTCCACTGACTTCAGCTTTGTGGTACAGGTGTAACCTAGAAGAGAATTTCATCCAGCTACCTGTGTATGTGGGCTCAGTTCTGCACTGCAGATGTGAGATAGGAGACATGTGCACGCTTCTGAATACAGAGGGCTTCTTTATTAAATTATTTTTTAACATAAGCAACCACATTATCCTACCAAGATCAAACATTTTGTTGAGAGCCTTGTTAAGTTTGATTTGCTATGCATTGAATTTAAACTAATGCAAAATTCGTTCTAGCATTCTATTTCATTCAGTGAAAATACAGTATCACAACATGTTTTATTAGACTAGCTAAATCCACTTCAAACAAGTACAGCTCTTCTCAGAAGACCTTTTCTTCAGCGAGACTTTTAAACAAATTGATCCCTGAGGACTTTGAGTTAATTCAATAAAGAAGAAATACGATACCAGCACATTTTTAGTTGGCTGGGGGAGGTATATAAACTTACCAGGGTATTCCAGAAAGTAAGCCAATATTTTGAGTTTTCTAATATTAGTGAAAAGTTAGATGAGAAACAGGCCTCCTAAAATCCTCCCTATCCTAATTGAAAAAAGAGAACTCATAATCAGTTACTGTAAATCTGGGTCTGTTAAATTTCAGTGATGTTTATTTTATATTTGAGGAAACAGGTATGATGTAAGTAATGTTAAATTTTGGATTCCAGGTAGATAATAATCCACAAAAATACTGAACTGCTCTGAGTTAGATTCATCAGCCAGTAGTATTTCTTTGTCTTGTATGAATAATTTGAAACCAGAGATTCATAAACTATTTATTGAACTGTATTAATTAGTCCTAAAATAATTCTGAATTTGATCCAATCACTCTAACATACAAATGAGCTCCATTTTCACAGAAATCTTGTAGTTTTCAGATACTAAAACAGATTCCTGAATGTGATGGCCTCCTATTTGTCTTCAAAACCTGTTAAAATAAGAACAGTGTTTTGTAAAACATGTATCCATGACAATAAGTACTCATTGCCTCCTTGGGAATGGTATTGTCCTTCAGTTTACAGAGTCAGATCCCTGCTTATGATGTTTAAATGCATATCTCTAGTAAATGCATGAAAAGCAGTCTTCTCTCTTTACAATAGGCAATTTAGTACTGTCAGGCTTAATGAAGTATGAGAATAAAATCCTGTTTCTTGGCTCTTTTGGATGATCATGTTAATATTTCAGGGGGCCTTAGCCAGCCTCAAAATTGAAGAATCAGGACAGTTACACTTGAAAATTAGAGATCTGGAGCCAATACATCCTTTTTGAATCATTCATTAGAATGTTGCAATGTAAAAAGAATTTTAAAAATATATCTGTGTATATATGTATACCCTAGGAAATTACTAACAAGCGGTCTCAGCTGCAGCTTACAAAGACTCTACAGCCAAATAGTTTGCTTCTGTCTAAATGAATCTGTCATTGCCTAGGCAAATAATGCTGGGTCTGCTGTCCCCTTAAGTGGTACCTCTTATGCTGTTTAAAAAGGAGGAAAAAGAAAAGGCCATTTCCAGCTGGAACATTGAACGGGAAAAGTATCTCATCGTCAAGTGAAAGTTTGGAACGCATCACAGTTCCTCTGAACTTCTAAATCATTTGAGATTGAGATAGTTTCATACATGGTGTATTTTACAAGGCAAAATGCCCACATTATAATCATAGGGAGAAGCTGACAAATGAACTGTAATGGCAACAAATTAAAAGTAATCTCACCTCCAGAGTCATCAATTTGAGCTCCAGCTGAGCTATTCAAAGCACAGTGGGCCACTTTGTTCAGCTGAGGTCCCTCCAAATGCTGCTTGGTGCCCATTATTATAAAACCTAACAGCTGTTCTTAATGTGTATGTGTATGTTCTGCCTGAAAAAAAATACTGAACATTTTCAGCTGAGGAAAAAATATTCTGCTGCTTCAAAAAAATGGTGGCAGGACCAAGGCTATGCCCAGATAGTAAACTTACTATCCCCAGCAGTGAGCACCTTAAACATGCTGTGTTAGCCTGTGTGGACTGCTGCTTAAATGGTAAGCAGTGTTGATGCCTCTGTACAGCATTTGGGCTAATTAGCGGTGCAGACTGACATTGACATTGTCCTCAAACTAATAAGCTTGTTCATATGTATGCAGTTACACTGCTGCTGGTTTACAAGGTGGCCTGCCCAGCGTGGGACAGTGTGTTTGAAGGCAGGATCTCCAGGAACAGTAAGCTTACTATAGACACACAGCCAAACAGTGCTTTTCACGGGCAGCAAAAAAATGCCTATTTTTGACAAGGGACATTTTTTATACTATTGTCAGCAATGTAAAGTTTTCATCCAAGGTTTTTATAATTCATTTTACAGTAAAAGCTTTGTTATCCAGCAAGCATGGGGAATGGAGGGTGCCAGATAACAGAATATGTCGGATAACTGAGTGGCCTGAACAGGTGTCTTTGCCTGTTTGGGCCACTGCCTGTCCCACCACATCTGGGGTGTTGCTGCCCCTCCTGTCGTGTTGCTGGCCCTCCCGCCGCATCGCCGCCTCTCCCATGGGGCCCATGGGCCCCAAGGGACAGGGAGGGGGGACCCACGCAGCCTGCTATGCCCCTGGGCCATGGGGGCTTGGCAGCACAGGCTGCTTTCCTCTGGGCTGTGGGGGCTCTGCAAAACTGGAAGTGCCAAGGTGGGCACTTCCAGTTTCACTTTTCCCTTACAAGCCAGCATGCCAGTTAACAGAGCATGCCAGCTTGTAAGGTGCCGGTTAACACAACTTTTGCTGTACTTTAAAAATGTAGTTTGCTAAAGTAAAATTTGGAAAACTATTCTCAGAAACTCTCCCAGGCTAGGGACAGACATTACACATAAACTGGTTTAAGTGATCAGAAACTGGTTTAAACCTGTAACAGAACTGATGTTCAGGGCACATAAACCAGTTTGAAAATGGCTGAAACAGGTTGGAGATAAACCTGGTTGAATGTAGTATCAGACTTAACTGATTTGGTTCAAGCCAGTTTATGCAATGTCTGTCCCAGACCGTAAAGATAAACCAAACACCCCCAGCATCCCAGCATTCTTTGTGGGCTGGATGGGCCCCTCCCCTCTGCTCCCTGGCTACAGCTCCCACAGAGACTCCAGGCATCTGCCTGGCTTCCTCCTGCTCCCCGCTTCCTCTCTCCACTCCTTGCTGGCGCAGGGATTCCTGTCCCCTCTGCCTTACACAGACACCTCTCAGCATTAGCTAGCAGAGCACATGCTGTCTATGGTCCATGCTGTGGCAGACAGGACAAAGTCATAATCAGCAGGTAGTTTGTAATGTCCCTCTGTTGTTTTCTTAATGGGCTGATAAACACTGAGTTTGGGGTTATAAACACTGTGTTACCAATTCCCTGCTGGGCTGGTCAGGAGGGGAGGGAACCCCTCCCTAATCAGAGCCTGGGCACACTGCCCCCCCTCAGTTCAGCATTGTGGATGGGAAGGGAGGACTGCTCTAGCCCCCGCCCCCAGCTTCTATCCTGAGCCACTGCGGGCATGTGCCTGCATTTTTTCAGTCCAGAGGGGATGTCTGGACAGTTACAAACTGATTCAGCCTAGACAGGTTAGACTAACCTGCAAAGATTAAATCAATTCAGGCTCAGGCTTTTTGAATGTCTCTCCCTACCCCTAGTCATTATTACCCTCCATCAAGTGTCCCCCTTGGCAATACGTCCTCAACTACATGTAGAATATAAGGGATTCAGCAGTGCCATAAAGTGACTGCTTCTTCATGCAGCATTTTCTTTCTCTAAAAAATACGCTTGTAAATAAGCTTGTGAAAAGTGCTGTATTATCACCACAGAAGGTTGCGGAACAGCTGTAGTGCAGAGTCAGATAGGAAGGCCTCCCCCTACTACCCTGTACAAATTTTGTGATAGAAAAGACTATCTAGAGGAATAGGATAGTTCAGATTTTGGTCCTAGGATGCTAACTATCCTAAAGGCCATTTTATGACACTTTTTCACTGAGAAGTTCATTATGGCTAGGGGCTTGTTTCACATGCAGTGATGAAGAGAGCATGCCACTTGCTTAGTTTCATATCAAGAGGGGGAAAGCTCACAAAATATAAGAACTGATGAAGGGAAAATAATGGTTGGCAGACTTTTACTATTACATCAGAATGGAAAGAACCTTGATTGTTTAATGAATGTCATCTGAGTAATGCAA